CTGTGTCTGGAGTGGGCTTTCTTTATTCTGGTGGTCTGTGGTTCCTTTTTATTGTGGAAGTTTTACCCTGTGGGTGGGGTTGGACGATTGGTTTGTCAAGGTTTCCTGGCTAGGGAAGCTTGTGTCAGTGTTCTGGTGTGTGGAAATGGATTTCTTCTCTCTGGAGTGCAATGGAGTGTCCAGTAATGAGTTTTGCGATTGGTCTATGTGTTAGATGTGACTTTGGAGAGCCTGTATGTTGGCACTCAGGTCTATGTTCCTGCGTTGCTAAAGAATTTGCGTGGTATGTCTTGTTCTGGAGCTTATTGGCTCTTGGGTGGTGGTTTGTTTTGGTGTAGGTATGGAGGCTCTTGGCTGGTCTCTTATTCCTTAATGTTCCGTGTAGTCAGGAGTTTTCTGGTTTTCTCAGGTTTTGGGCTTAAGTCTCCTGCCTCTGGATTTCAGTTTTATTCTTCCAATAGTCTCAAGACTTCTCCAACTATACAGCACTGATAATAAAACTTCTAGGTTAATGGTGAAAAGATTCTCCACCATGAGGGACAACCAGAGGGGTTCACAGAGTTACATGAAGAATAGGAGAGGGAGGAAGGAGATAGAGGTGAGCAGGAGGAGAAAAAGGGGACTCAAGAGGAGAGAGACAGATCTACGCAGTTATCTGTTCCCAAAGTGTTCTCCGTAGCCCAGACACCCACAGAGATTCACAGAATTGGATTGGGAAGAGAAGGGGAAAGGAGGAAATAGAGGTGTTCTGAGGTAGAAAACAGAGAGTCAAAAGTGGGAGAGAGTAATCAACACACTCCTGAATAGAAATGGGAACTGAATATTGGATTCTTAAATGTCCAAAATTTATATCACATACTGAAAAACAAAGATTAAAAATCTGGCGTAGAGGTTAGACTCTTTGAAATACAATATTAAAAAAAAAATTTAGAAATATATATGAAGTTCGGTTTAAAAATAGGGCTTCTCTCTTTTTTTTTTTTTGGCAAGGTTATAGTGAAATGAAAATGAAAATTAAGGAATAATAGAGGAGTATTAGAGGACTTTAAAAGGAAATAGGAGAGAAAAACAAGAAAAAGAGAAAAGAAAAAAAAAGAAAAGAAAAAAAAATTTTCCCCCTAATTGAAAAAATCGTAAAAATATATGAAAATGAAAGTTGAGGAGTAATGGGGGAGTAATAGGGAATTTTAAAAGAAAATAAAAGAGAAAAAATAAAAAAATAATAATTAAAAAAAAGGAAAGAAAAAAAAATTTTTTAATTAAAATAAAATACATATATATCTAGGAATTTCTCTGGACCTGTTGTGGTCAGTGTAGGTTCAGTTCAATTTCAGATAGCGCCTCTTTCCAGCTTACACTTCTCGATATCTATAGGCCCCTTCAGCTGTAGTCGGTGTTACCTTCAGGGATTTTAATCTATTGCACTGGTCCTTTCTGAAGTGGTTCCCTTTGTTTATTTGGCTTCTGTTTGCCGTCTCTTCGGTGTCTAATTTCCTCTCTGACACAGGCGGGCGGAGGTGATCTCTTATTTAGGTTCGCTAGTTCAGTTCAGTCCTGCTACGGGGAGGGCGGGGCGCTGCAGACAGATACCGCTCTGTGTGGACAGCACTCACCGTGTTCCGGCCACACTGGGTTTGCCCCGCTCACGGGTGTCTGTGCTTTCCCCGTCTACACTGCTCAGGCTCCCGGCTGCTCTATATGGAGCGGGCCCTGCGTTGAGTGCGGTTCCAGTTTTCGGGTACTCCACAAAAGCGCAGATTCGGTTGCGCCTGCGTTTTGTGCCTTCCCCGGCCTGAGCGGTTCAGGCAGCCAGAGGCTTGGGCGTACTCTCCCCGGGTGCGGCGCGCCCTTTCCCTCCGCGGTGGGCAGCTCAGGCAGCCAGAGGCTTGGGCGCACTCTCCCCGGGTGTGGCGCTCCTTTTCCCTCCGCAGCGAGCGGCCCAGGCAGCCAGAGGCTTGGGCGCAATCTCCCCGGATGTGCCGCGCCTTTTCCCTCCGCGGCGGGCAGCTCAGGCAGCCAGAGGCTTGGGCGCACTCTCCCCGGGTACGGCGCGCTTTTTCCCTCCGCGGCCCCAGCGCGCGCCGCCAGTCGGGTCTCAGGAAGTCTTTAGATAGGAACCGGGGGCCTGTTTGCAGTGTGGGAGGGGGTGGCTTCTCAGGGGCTGAGTTTGCCTCTTTCCCCTCCCCCCTGCCTCCAACCTCCAGCGGGGATGGGCCGGCTCTTCTCTGGAGTTTCTCAGTCCCTTTGTTTTGCGAACGGCCGGCAGTGTGTTCAGGCCGGTTAATTTTCTCCCTTGCTATCCCACAGTTTAAAAGAGCTCCCTCCGATTGCTCTCAGGGTCTTCGGACCGGTCCTTACCCTAAGCAATGCCGCCCACTCCTCTCCGTTCCACCCCCCCTTGTTGGTGGCGGGTGCGGGCGTCTGGGGTACTTTTCTGCTGGGAGTTGCTTTTAGGCACGTAATCTGTGGGCCTTATTTAATTTTTCTTTCCAGTTAGGTTGCCCTCCGAGATTCGAAAACTTCCCCCAGACCCGCCAGCGCGAGGGTTTCCTGGTGATTGGAAACTTCCTCTATTAAGACTCCCTTCCCGGGACGGGTCTCCATCCCTAGCTCTTTTGTCTCTCTTTTTATCTTTTATATTTTGTCCTACCTCCCTTCGAAGACAATGGGCTGCTTTTCTGGGTGCCTGATGTCCTCTGCTAGCGATCAGAAGTTGTTTTGTGAAATTTGCTCAGCATTCAATTGTTCTTTCGATGAATTTGTAGGGGAGAAAGTGGTCTCCCCGTCCTAGTCCTCCGCCATCTTGGCTCCTCCCCCGCCAGGTCGATGTGTACACTTCTAATGCACGCCCAGCAAGGTTATAAAATCTAGTAGACTATTAATAAAAGAAGATTTAGTTATAAACTCAGTTATTTTAAGAGGTGATTTATTCCTATGGCGGGCTTGTTGTCACATGGAAAACAGTTTCTTTTGAGGTGGAAAACGTGTTTAAACATGTTTAAACACTAAACATGTTTCAGTGTCTGTATTTTTTATAAAATGGAATTTTATTCACCTCTGTGTCTTTGCTGGGGTAGCCCCTCTACCTGGAAGGTCTCATTCTCCCCTCATCAGGGAAACACCAATGCTTCCAAGTCAGCCCAGACATTTTACCCCCAGGGTGTCACCCCTGACCCCCCAGGAGGGACAGGAATTCCTTGTCGAATTCTCACTGAACACTGTCCACGCTCATCTCATGGCACTTATCACATTGCCCTGGGCTTACATGCTGTTGTCCTCAGTGGACTGTGAATTCCATCTGCATCTCACTCATGCATATATATTCAATTCTTAGCACAGAACCTTGATCATAAGACACATACAAGAAATTTGTATTGAATGGAAGAGACTCACTCTCCTGCATTTTCTTTGATTTGAGGGTTTACTTGGTTCTGTTACTCATGAAAACTATGCAGCTAAACTCATTTGTTGACTATTTCAACAATATATATAAAGTAATGGTTACAGAAAAAAAAAATATGTCATTTAGTTGAGCCCTTTTACTTAATAAATTTCCCTCAAATTGTTATATGAACCTCCAGGGAGCTAAACAGTGAGCTCTTACTGGATAAATTACTCCAGTTTTTTCATCTTGATTTTAAGCTCAAATAACTTCGAATTCATCACTTAATGCAGATCAATGTTTATATGATAAATATATCAGATATATCAGTGACCCAGAAGAGGTAAATAGTGACACTGAATCACAGGGTAACTGATTTTGGGGGAAAGCTAAGAAGAGCAAAAATACAGGCAACTAACAAAAAATAAACCAAGCCTTCCTAAAGAGAACAGAGATAAAGCATAGAGGGGGAAAAAAATGACTTCCACTTCATAACACATGCACACACACACATACACATATTTAAATGAAGCATGTGTGTGGAGGGTTTTGAGGTACAAATCAGAATATGTATTGTGACAATATCCAAAACTGATTAATGTATTAATTGAAAAACTTCTATTTAATTTCTAGCAGGTCCCTCTCAACTTGAATGAATACTGTGAGGGACACAGGGACATATACACAAAAGCTTTAGGTATCCATTTGACAATAAACTTACTTTTCTAGATAAGACTACAGAGCCAACAAAAGAATTCAGGAACACTTGAACAAATGCTGAATGCTGTGTTCTAGAGAGATTAATCCAGCATTAATCCATCATGCTGGGTTAAGGTGCAGGGTTGGAAGAACAAGAAGCACAGAGAAATTAGGAGACATAGAATAATGGATACCCAAGTGCACCAATGAGAGAGATTGAACAAGATCTCACCCACCAAAGGTACAGCATCACCAATGCCTGGCACTAGAAGCACCCATGAAACAAACATCTGCTGAGTCAGCCATGGGTTGCTCACAGTGGGTCTAAAGTTCATGAGAAAGGAGTCAGCTTGGAGGACAAAGTGATGCCCTGTTCCTGAAATAGAAGACATGGAGGAGACAGAAATGTCTGGGATGAAGGGGAAGGGCAAAAGTTGGAGGATGTATTTCCATGGTGATGTCTGTTTTCTCCAAGGAGTAGGAGGTGAGGGGTAGGGCAGAGGCGAGAATCCCAGTGACTCATTGCCTGGGTTAACTGTGGTCACTGAGATGGTCTTTCACAAATCTCATATTTCAGAAAACAAAATCCTCAGTTGTCAATATGCAAAAGAATAGCAATTTAAGTAATCTGCATAGAAGAATTATATTATTTTTGGCAAGTTTTAAAAACTGGAAAAAATTAATTTTAAATAATTCATTCATACATATATTTGATATAGACTAACACACATGTGATGTAAATTAATTTTAATAAGATTTAGGGTTAGGACTTAAAATTTAATCATAGAATAAAAAAAAAATTGGTGACAAATCCTAAATGTTCAGTGATTTGGTACTACTTCGTGACAGCACATATAAAATTAGAGTTTTTAACACTGCATAAACATTTTATAATAAGCTGTTTTAATTAATTCTTTAGGTCCCCAAATGGTAGAGGTCCAGAGTCAGCAGTTTCAGATCCACTCCAAGGATGGCAAACCACTGTTCACTGTGGATGAAGAGAAAGTCATGGTTGGTACAGATAAACTTCGAGTAACTGGTAGGTATAGCTCTTTATTTCTGATTAAGGAATAACTGACAGACAACATTAGTTTCAGGTGTACAATATGGTGATTCAATATTCATATATATCGTGAAATGATCCACACTAAGTCTAGTTAATGTCCATCACCACACATACTTACAAATTATTTTCTTGTTATGAGAACTTTTAGACGCACTCTCTTAGCAACTTTAAAATATACCATACGGTATTATTAACTAGGGGACTTCCCAGGTGTCTCTGTGGTAAAGAACAAGCCTGCCAGTGCAGGAGACTTGGGTTCGATCCCTGAGTTAGGAAAATTCCCTGGAGAAGGAAATGGCAACCCACTCTAGTATTCTTGCCTGGGAAATCCCATGGACAGAGGAGCCTGGCTGACTACAGTCCATGGCGTCGCAAAAGAATCGGACAGGACTTAGCGACTAAACAACAGTTACTTTCTGGTTTTAAAATAAGCCTGAGTAGGAGAGATACATACACCCCAGTGTTCACTGCAGCACCGTTTACAATAGCCATGATATGGAAGCAACCTAAGTGTCCATCAACAGAGGAATGGATAAAGATGAGGTATGCATATACAATGGAATATAACTCAGCCATTAAAAAGAATGAAATAATGCTGTTTGCAGCAACATGGATGGACCTAAAGAGTGTTATATTGAGTAAAGTAAGTCAGACAGAGAAGAAGATATATCATATGACATCCCTTATATGTGTAATCTAAACAGAAATGATACGAATGAACTTACTTACAAAACAGAAAGAGACTCACAGACTTACAGAATGAATTTATGGTTGCTGGGGGGAGGAGAAGGATGGGGGAAAAGGATAGTTACAGAGTTTGAGATGAGCATGTACACACTGCTATATTTAAAATGGATAACCAACAAGGACCTACTGTATAGCCCAGGGAACTCTGTTCAATGTTATCTGGATGGGAGGGGAGTTTGGGGGAGAATGGATACATGTATATGTAAGTCCACATGAAACTACCACAACATTGTTCATTGGCTATAGCCCAATACAAAATAAAAAGTTAAAATAAACCTGGGTATATGCAACTTCTTTAAAAATCATATTTTGTTTATAAGAGCCTAGTAAAATCATGGTGTTCTTGGAAAAGTAGGAAAGCAGTTATGCCTATTTTGTCCCACAACTCAAGCGTCTATACAAAGTCAACAATCAGAACCTACGTGTCCCGTAATATGCAGTATAAAGGCTTGATTTGTTGACCATTGTTTACTTTTGTAAGAAAGATGCACCTTTGGTTTGTGTTTAGGGCCTGAAGGGGCTCTTTTTGAACATTCGGTGGAGACACCCCTCGTAAGACCTGACCCACTCCAGGACCTCAGGTAAGAGTTTTGTTCAGATGTGAACAAACTGGTTATGTGCTGGAGTAACACTTCAAACAAACTGGTTATGTGCTGGAGTAACACTTCAGCAGATACTACCAGGTGGTTCTTTATTCCTTAAGTTGTCCTTATTCTGATGACCTTCCACCCATGACAGGTCATTTCTGACAGAATCCAGAGGAAGGGTGAACATCCTTGTGCATGTCCCGTCCTCCCATCTCTGAGACGCAGGCCTTGTGACCAGCCCTGCCCCAGCCCCAGGGCAGCCTGCACTGTTCTGGTGGACTATTTCCTCCTCCAGGAAACCTCAGGGATGTGGCTAAATGCCACTATTTTATTTATTTTTTCCTAGCTTTTTTTTTATTGTGGTAAAAATACACATAAAATTTAATCATTGTAACCATTTTTAAATGTATAGTTCGGAACATATTTATACTTTACATACTTAAAAGTTTTGCTTTTTATTTTCTATTATGGTTTACCACAGGATATTGAATATAGTTCCCTGTGCTCTACAGTAAGACCTTACTGTTTATCTATCTGTAGCAGTTTGCATCCGTTAACCCCAAACTCCCAATCCTTCTCTCCCTCCATCACCACTCTTCCCCTTGACAACCACAGGTCTGTTCCCTATGTCTGTGGGTCTGTTTCTGTTTTGTAGATGAGTTCATTGTGTCATATTTTAGATTACACATACGAGTGGCATCATTGATGGCTCAGCAGGTAAAGAATCTGCTTGAAATGCAGGAGACACAGGAGACGCGGGTTTGATCCCTGGGTGGGGAAGATCCTTTGGAGGATGACATGGCAACCCACTCCAATATCCTAGACTATTGCTTCAAAAATCCCATGGACAGAGGAGCCTGGTGGTCTACAGTCCAAAGGGTCGCAATAACTCGGGCGTGACTGAGCCCACAACACACATAAGTGATATCCTATGGCATTTGTCTTTGTCTGACTAGAATATGTACTAGAGAGTAGGATAGTCTCTAGGTCCATCCATATAGCTGCATCCGGCATTATTTCACTCTCTTGTGTAACTGAATAATATTCCATTGTGTGTCTGTGTGTGTGTGTGTGAGTATGTGTAAATATACCACATCTTCTTTATCCATTCACCTGTGGATGAACATTGGAGGTTGTTTCCACAGTTTCTGGTTACTGTGAATAGCGTTGCTATTAAAGGAGGGGTGTAAATGTAGCAGGGTAAAAATGCTTCGTTGATTCCATGTCAGCCATAGGAAAGTCCAGAAAGCTCTCGGGGCACTTGGCCTGTGACCTAGTCTCCGTGGGGCTCCCTAGACTGGCATCCTGGGCGCCTCCCTCCTCACTCGTCCTGAGACTGAGCAGCTGCCAGCTCCAAGCTCCACACTCCCACACACATTGTCCCACCTGACTGGGGTGCCCCTCCTTACCTTGGACACCCATGGAGATCTCCTTGTCCTCACGCTTCAGCTCACCAACCCATTATTTTTCCCTGAAAATCATCAGCTGAAGTAAAACAATTGCACCTTTTAGTGAAAGAGAATTGTGTCCTATATGGGCTTAAAATGTCCAAAAGGCATTCTCAGAAATTTCAGTTTATATTACATTTTTTAAAATATGTGCACTGTGAGTAGACAAGAGGATTACAAAACTAAGAACGTGATGAATCCATATATGCAAAGAAATTGGAAACCTTTGATATATCTTTTTTCAACTATGGTAAAAAACACATAAATTTTACCTTCTTAACCACTTTTAAATGTACAGTTCAAAGCCTATGGTAGGCTCACTGCTGTCAACCACCCCTACCTCCAATCGCCAGAATTCTTTCCATCTTGAAAAACTGAAACTCCACGCCCCTTAAACAATAACTCCTGTCTCCCTCCCCAGACCCTGCACGCCACCACCCTGCCCTCTGTGTCTATGAATCTGAGGATTCTTGGCACCTTGTTTGAGTGGAATCATATAGTATATGTCCTTTTGCGACTGGCATAATATCCTCAACCTTTGGTATATCGCTACGTAATATCAGAATATATAAAATTGCTTTGCTCTTTGTTTATTCTTTATGCAGAGTCTCTGTGTGCCTGTGTGTATTTCACTGTATCACTGGCCACTGGATGTCCTTTACTGCTGTAACTATTTATTCCAACAGTATATTTGTACTTTATAACAAAAACAAACAATAGTTTTAAAAGCAAGTGTCTTCAAGTCTACAGTGTCACTTAAAGTCACATTTAGAATTTGAACTTGAAAAATATTCAGGTCAGCTAGCATATTCTAATATATTATGTATAATAGGGGAACAATGTACAGTAGGAACTCCAGCTTTACAAACAAGCCTGGTGACCTTGGCCAGAGACTATATTTTCTCATAAAACATTGGTAGTATTATACATCTCACAGTGTTCTGGGGAAGATTTCATAAGCTATGAAGTTAAAAATGTTTTGTAAACTGAAAGTGGAATACAAATAATCATTTTTATTATCATTATTATACCAACTAGATATTCATACCAAATGGAATTAGAGTTAGGAAATTTGGCATTTCTCTTAATGTTAATGTCTAATTAAACATTAATCTAAAGCAAATGAGAGTTCAATTCATCTTACCCACTTAGAGAACATTTGCAGCATAAAATTAGATTGTGACTATAATTAAATTGTAACAGTTTCATTGATTTTGATAAAGGACCATGAGATCAATATTATAAAATTATTACAGTTAGGGAAGAAGAACATTTTATTTTTGTTGGAAAGAAACATGATTCGATATCTTTAAAAAGTAATGCCATGAGAAAAATTTTGTTATTAAAAATAATATAAATTGTAGAGCTACCAAACCACTCTTCACAATGAACGTCACTGTTTTAAAAGTATAGGCCTCATAATTAAACAATTTGTCTTACATTTTTCCCATTAGGAAACAAATTTGCTGGCTTCTACAGAAGGCCTTTCCTGAAAAAGAAATGGCAGAAGAGTATTCTCTGGCTTTCTAAAACGTGACACTAAGGGAGCATTCCATAACCCAAGTGTTATAACCAGAGTGATTGAGAACATAATGAAATTATAAGGAATTGCTTGAAGAATGGGGTTTGGATGGAAGACATGAACTAACAGGTTTCGAATGCCTGCCACTGCCAGGAAATGTGTCTGTACTGTCACATAATTTATTTCGTTTCCTCGTCAGCTTGACCTGAAAAGCATCAACTCAATCCCCATTTTACAAAAGAGAACACTGAACTCAAGGTAGGAGCACATTCTAAGGCACAAAGGAAAAAAGGCAGCCAACTCATGACTCAGCTTAGCTCTGGCTCCAAAGTCAGTGTATGCTCTGTTCCCACTTCCACCACCCAGGGGAACCCCTCAGTGATTTATTCCCTGATTTACCACCATACTCTGCTGACTGAGTGCATGAGAGGTATATTGTCTTCTGTGAGTTCTTGCTATCACCTGTCTTTCCTTTTTTATGTCTATGTCCAGTAGCATTAGTATTCCTGGCCTGAGTAAAAGGAGATCAATTCTGGAGTATCTTAACTGACTTTGAAAACTTTGTGGATGTTGTTGGGTTAAGATCATGAAGATCATTTATAAAAAGACCTCTGAAATATATATGTTTAAATATCACAATTTAAATTTTGGTATTTGCTCAAATGGTAGTTATGAAAGGGTGACAGTTATTTTCTTTAAGAAAAATATATAATTGACTTGTATTTAAGCTAAATTTACATTTCTTAGGGCAAGGTCATCCTCAAGAGAAGTATGAACTGTAACATACCATTTTAAAGCTACTTGTCATTCGTGCATGATATAATTCAATCTTTTTTTTAAAAAATTTTAAAAATTCAGCAAAAATGTATAAAGTGTGCTTATGTGCCAGAGTCTATATATCTATATCTATATATCTACATATATATATATCACTGGTTCCACAGTGATAAAAGGCATGGTCCCTGACCTTAGTGAGTTTAAAGTCTGTTGGGAGAAAGAAACGTGCAAACAAGTTACAACGGCATCATTCATCGCGATGATGAAGGTGCAAAACGATAGTGAGGGCATAGGAGAAATAGCATAACTCTTCCTAGGGTGATCTGAGATGAAGTCACAGATAAGAAAGCTCTTGAATGGAAACTTAAGGAATCAGTAGATGTGGACACAGTGGGGCAAACTGCAAAGCCCCTAAAACCCAGTAGGGATGTGATGGCAGAAACCATGCCTAGGACATAGTAACACATATGTTTCTTCATTAGATCAGCACAATGAACAGACATGAGTACCTGTTCCCATTTCAAACACTTGTAAATATTGGTTTCCTTAATAGAGTTTATAAATATCACTTAAGTAGAAATCAAGGAAGCCCATTCATTCCCAGGTCCCAGTAATCAAGTAGAAAATTCATTGTCAGTGCATGTGTAGCTCAGTCATGCCTGACTCTTTGCAACCCCATTTACTATAGCCCACCAGGCTCCTCTGTCCACGGGATTCTCCAGACAAGAATACTGGAGTGGGTTGCCATGCTCTCCTCCAGGGGATCCTCGCAATCCAGGGATCGAACCCAGGTCTCGTACATCTCCTGCATTGCAGGTGAGTTCTTCACCACTGGCACTACCTGGGAAGCCTGTGGTGGAGTGGAAGCTAAGTCAGGGGTACTCAAGGAGAAATCAGGATTCCACAGAGACTAGGGGCTGGAACTTGAATATTTTATGGAGACTGAGTTTGCAAGCTACAACCTAGTGTGTATGAAATGCCCAGAGATATCTCATAGATCTTGAGAAGATATATCAGTATCTGGTAGGACTAAGCACGTGTGTGCGTGCACACGCACACACACACACATATGCATACACACATACATACACACACCCTCTCAGAGTTTTTCTCTCTCACCATTTCTCTGTCTGTTCTTGCTTATTTTTCCATGTGAACATTAGGTCTTTGATATCTGACCATGTTGAATGCATTCATGGAAATGTGTACCTCAGAGCATTCTCATCTCAGCCTTTTTGGTAATATGGGTCTAAACCTGTGCTGAATTGAAATGTTTTGTCTTCAAGGATAGAAATGATGCAGCGGGGACGAGGTCTGCCTCTAGGAGCATTGTGTTGTAAGAACGTTAACAGCTAGTCATTGGTCCTGTTGAGGTCACTTGTGGTTTGAGAATGACCCTGGAAATGGACTCACCTTCGCCAGGGTCCCTGAAATGGGCCTAGCGGTGCAGGGTGCTCACACCCTTCTTCTTCCCCTCCGCTGTCTTCCATCAGTCCAGGCAGGAAACACACAGGCAGTTAGCAGTGGCCAGAAGGGGCCTCCATCTGCAGACCAGGCTCATGTAGGTACCAGCATGTTTCCCCCAACACCTAAACCCAACAGAACCTGACCAATAAATTCCAGAAATATCTCTGCTTCTAACACTCAAAGTCATATTTTAACATGTATAACAGGTCAGATCTTACATACTGAGAGGTACATAAGAAAAGGAAGCTTTATTTTCCATAACAAATAGTGATAAATGAGAAAACTTGCCAATTAAAGGGAGTAATCCACCTGATTTAAAGGTTGATCAGTACCACTCAGTCATAAAAAAGAACAAAATGTCATTTGCAGCAACATGAATACAACTAGAGATTATCATACTAAGTCAAGTAAGCCAAACAGAGAAAGACAAATAATATAGGATACCACTTATATGTGGAATCTAAAATATGAGAGAGATGAAACTGTCCGTGAAACAGACTCAAGGACATAAAGAATAGACTGCTGGCTGCCAAGGGGGTTGGGGAGGGAAGGATTGGGAGTTTGGGGTTAGCAGATGCAGATTATTATATATAGGATGGATAAACAATGAGGATAAACAACTGTATAGCATAGGGAACTCAATATCCTGTGATAAACTATACTGGAATAGAATATAAAAGATTATACATATGTATATATAACTGAGTTATTTTCTATGCAGCCAAAATTAATTAACACAACATTATAAATCAACTATACTTTCATTAAGAAATTTTTTTTTAAGTTGATCAGTCACCTCAGATGCAAATTCATTAACAGGCACTTCTCGCCTCTTAAATGTTACCCTTTCTTTCCTCTACCACCTGCACCGTACTCTGACCCTGCAGTGGGATGGGTCCTTTTCTCCTTCTTGTGGACCTTTAAACATTCCAAGCAAGTCAGCTTTTCGCCTTTTGGTTGAGTCAGGTTGGAGCAGCTGAAAAGCCTGTCCAGTGATCCTGTTGGGCCATCTGGTGGAAATGCCATCAGTCGTTTCCAGACAGAAGCAAATAAGAGAAGTCCCCTGCTCCTCTGTTCCTGGTTCTATATCTGTGTTTGACTAAATCACAAGGAGCTGCTGCTGAATCTTACAGAAACAAGGCCTGCTGAGGCCAGTCTCCACCTTGTCTATAAACTCCATTAATTAATCATTTTTCCAGGAGAAATCGCTGCATGTGCCCTGTAATCTTCCCAAATGGAAAAAAAAAAAAAAAAAGCAAACAAAGTCCAAATTTTTGTGAACCTGTAACAGATGAATGTGTTGCACTTAAATTTCTCTTTTTCCCAAAGAAGTTTGGGTTTTGGCTTAAAAAAATAGTTTTCCAGAGATATTCACCAGTAGCACTTTCTTCTGGTGTGGCATGTCGTGGATGCTGACCACACTGTCTGGAGCTGCTACACAGGGCTGGGATGGTCTAACGTTTGCATCAGTTTTCAGAGGATACTAATTTCATAGATTCTCATTGATGGAAAGTTAACTTCTTTACTGCACTTTATTTCTGGATTTATCAATGAAAACCAACCCTGAATATTCATTGGAAGGACTGATGCTGGAGCTGAAGCTCCAATACTTTGGCCACCTGATGGGAAGAGCTGACTCACTGGAAAAGACCCTGATGCTGGGAAAGATTGAGGGCAGGAGGAGAAGGGGACGACAGAGGATGAGATGGTTGGATGGTATCACCGACTCAATGGACATGAATTTGAGCAAACCCTGGGAGATAGTGAAGGATAGAGGAGCCTGGCATGCTACAGTTCATGGGGTTGCAATGAGTTGGACATGACTTAGTGACTGAACAGCAGCTGTTCGGTCCAACCCCAGGAACTGCAGCATGCCAGGCTCCCAATGTATGGCAAAACCCACAATATTGTAAAGGAATTAGTATCCAATTAAAATAAATTAATTTTAAAAAGTTTTAAAAAGAATGAGTGAATATACTATATATCTTACTGATTATATTCTCTATATGTCTCTATCTCTTTTGTAAGATACTATGTCTTACTGATTATATTCTCTATAATATTACTGATTATATTCTCTAAGATTTTTGTTCTCTAAGAATATAATCAGTAAAATATATAGTATATTCTCCATTGGTTGGGGGATTCCTGGGGTGGCTGTATTTTAGGCCATTTTTTCTTGGTTTCCTTCCCTCATTTCAGACTAGAATCTCCGACACGGAGTCTCAGCATGGACGCCCCAAAAGGCGTTCACATTCAAGCCCCTGCGGGGAAGATCGAGGCCCTTACCCAGATGGACATCCTCCTTCAGAGCAGTGATGGGACGGTGAGTCCAGTGGACGGTGGGTGGTGGGTGCTCCCATTGTACAAGCCTCACATCCACTAAGTAATGATGACATTCACGTCCAATAAGGCATCAGCAAATTACAGTTTGTAAAGAGACGTCATGAAAGGCGTCACAGAAAATGTGAAAGAGGGAAAAAATTTAACACTGAAAGAAAAGTCAAGAAAGGTTAAAAGCAGCCTCTGTTGGATCCAGACTGCTTTCTTTGGCATTTGTGTTATCAAGTCTCTTGTTGTTTTCAACTTTGAAAAAGTACTGGACATTCAGAACTCTCAAAGAATGCCCATCCTGCCACTTCCGAGTGACCCTCTCAGCAGAACTGTCACTGGTGGTTACCTGGAAGTGATAGCTCTTTTTTTTTACCACCCAGGGTGCTCACTCACATCAAGTCCTGGTTCAGTGAAAGTCAAATATGAAAAATAAGAACTGCAATAAAGAAAACTCTGGAACTTCCAGTCCAGAAATAAAACATCCCTGATAAGACCCCCTCTCAGAATGGGCAGCAAGGCACAGGCTTCCTACTATTTATTGATCCTTCTAGTGTGAGATCAATTTGCCAATTACCTGTTTAAATCAGGGACATTAACAGGCCTCTCTGGGCCTCTCTCCTCATTTGTCAAGTATAGGAAATAGTATTTACTTCACAGTGTCACAGGGCTAAGAGACCTCAATGCAGAAAGATAATTTTGAACTGATATTAATTTAATATTAAGAAGGGGTGTGGTTGAGGCTGCAGATGGAGACCACAGGAGGCAGGTTCAGTCCCTGGCTTGGCAAGATCCCCTGGAGAAGAGAATGTCAACCCAAGTATTCTTGCCTGGGAAATCCCATGGACAGAGGAGCCCGGGCAGGCTATAGCCCATGGGTCACGAACAGTCGGACACAACTTAGTAACTAACAGCAGCAGCAGCACAGCATTAGTCAATAACGTATATAGGTTCTGCTCCAAAAAACATAAGATCCATTTGACTTCCTGCTCTGACGGTGACCCAGACCCCAGGGCAAAGCCTGCCTGCCATGCACTTGTACTGTCACTCTGCTCCCGCAGAGACGTCAGCATCCCAGGACACCAGTGTATTCAGAGCTTGGCCTGACGGGACCAGGGCCGCATAAAACAAAGGCGGGATTCGACCTTGCTGGCGAGGAAGCATGTGGGCACTTCCCAGACGTCGTTTAGTTCGTTCTGATAAGTGAGCACCCTGCCAGGGCTCAGGCTTGGTTGCTCTGAGCTATGACTCTGATTTCTTTTAGCTGTCAAGAGATTTCCAAAACTCAGTCAACAGCCATTTGTGTGCATCTTGGTTCAACTGTATCTCCCTAGGAACAAAAAGTCCAATGGCTTCCCTCTTATTTTAGTTGTCTTTGTGTCACCTGCTTCCTGTATCTAATAGAAGGCAACAGAGTTTCAAATAAAATTTAAAAAGCTGGAGAAATGGTTGCTAGCCATTACAATGAATTTAATTGCCTCTCCTAGGAAAATAATATCATGAGCAATTTCAGCATTCTCAAGGTAAAATGAATAAGATGAGTCAACTTCGGCAGCTTGTACTTTATCCTAATACGAGGAGAAGCTGAAGGTTAAAGTGGAACACAAGGTCAATGGGAATCAAAAAATGGCATTATTTTGGCCAGATAACTCTGAAAGGTCTTCAAGGAGTGTTACATCATACACTTTCCTAGCTGGCCTAGTGCAATGAGTAAAAGAAAAAAAAAAGAGAGATTTCCCTCCAGTTCCTAAGGAATATTTACCCCCCTGCCCAGATGGAAACTAGAAATAGGCTTTGAAAGAATCAGGTCATCGGATTGTGACTTCAGCCGAGGCAGGTGCCTACTTCATTTTCTATGCAGAGAAAGAACTTGGAACATTTGGAGCACTCGAGTTTTGTGTTTGTCATGTTCCCTCCTCTTTGACCAGGTCTTGTCTTGCTCTCTCCCAAGCAGCTTATGCTCGACGCGGAAACTGTGTGTTTGCCCGAGCTGGCTCTGGGGAGCCATGGGCCCGTGGGCAGCTCCCAGGGGCTCTACGAAGTCTGTGCATGTCCGGATGGGAAGCTCTACCTGTCTGTGGCCAGCGTGGGTACCACATGCCACGAGCACAGTCACCTCTGCCTCTAAACCATCAGCATCGCCCACGGAGCACCTGCTGTGTCTCGGTGGACTCTGCAGTGCAGACCTCGACCTTCACACCTGGAGCTGCTTGACAACATTGAGCCGAGTTTGCATGTGGGGGTTTGAAAGGAGCTCAAATGTACCACTGAAAATGTTCCCGGGAAACTGTGATCTTGGAGTGGACCTTAGACACAGAAGTCCAGGGATCAGAAGAAGGTGTTGATCCCACCAGATGGGCTCATTGCCATTAGAACCATTGTGACTTTCCCTGTCCTGTGTGTGTTGGTCTGTGATGGGATGTTGGGCTGCTGTGTGGAATGGATGCATGGAAATGCGATGCTCAGCTGGGGACCTCTGACCTCCTGTGAGAGTAGTCTGGGTCCTGCCCAGGTGCCCCAGAGTTCTCTGAGGTTTTCCACTGTGTTGCTCAATCCTGCAGGAGCTGTATTCATTTCAACGCAAAGTGTGTACAGTTTCAGAAGAAAATCTTCAAGTTTTGAAGGGACGTTGAGATTGATCTGACTTTCAGAATGTGGTCATGGGAATAAATTGCACACAACTTATCATGTTTCTTTATATAGTCCATGAGCAATAAAAATCAACCTACATTTTTCATAGACTTCACAGTGTGTATTGCTTTCTTTAATCCTCACAACTCTTTTTGAGTTTAGTATTGTTTTTCCCCCAGTTGCTGGTGATTAAAAAAGAAAAAGGTTCAGATGAGTCAAGTCACAGGTCACCCAGTATCTACTAAAATTAAATTCAACTGGACCCTACATTTCAACATCAGTTTTCACTTTGGAAAACTTTGATCTGTTTCTCATTGCACCTGCATCACCTGTTTACCTGATACCTGCACAGACAGGCTGATACCTACGTGAAAGGTGGAGAAACTAAAGTCAAGGGGAGTTTTGTCATCCACCAAGATGGCCCCATGAACTGGTGGGGGCTCGCTGCTACCCAGCCCGTGTGCCCACCTCACAGGAGAGGTGAGGGACCGGGGGTGGGGTGGAGCTTCACCGAGTCACTGCTCACAGGCGCCATCCTCAGCTGTGTGATCTGCATGTGAATACGGTGAACACACATACTGAACCCATGAATGCTTTGGTTTTGTGGCTTTACTAACACGGTAGAATGCCTTCATCACACCGAACACCAGGTGTCGGTTTTGATGTGTGTTTTACTGATCGGTCCCGTTAGAATCCCCACACGGCACAAGACGTGGTGGGACCAACAGCATTGCAATTTTCCCATTAAAGGATTTAAGACTAGACATACAACATCAGTTTCATTTTCCACAGTCTCAGAACTGAGAGAAAAGTGAAATCTATTTCTAATGCTGTCTTAACAAGGTTTTAACAATGCAACCTACTCCTAAAAGTTCCTTAATATTTAAATTACTGGTATTATAAACATTTGAAATTATTAATACAAAATAAAATACAAATTAAAATTTTAAAATACAGTGTGTCCTAATCAGTTAAGAGCAAATTCAACTCTGAATATAACGCTCCTAGTTTCAGGGGATTGGGAGGGTGGGGGCTTAGATTATATAAGTAAGTATTTGCCTTTTCCATTTAGTTAAGTCCTGATTTTTAAAATTAATGTCTGCTTTCTTGCTGTGACACTCCTGTTGTCACAGTAGTGTTGTCATTTTTATGTCATATTTACTCTCTTATACCATGTTTGTGCAGAAAAAAGTCTTCCAACCCAGTTGATGTAGATGGATTCTCATAGAATGTGTGTACATATCCAAAAAAATGTCGATGATAAAGCAAAGTCAAAAAAAAAAAAAAAAGGAATCAAAGGACGGGGAATAGACCATTTTAAATAAAAGGTGTAAATCCAAACTTTTGTTTCTAGCTCCTTTCTCCAGAGTGATGAGGAATTTCTCCTTGGTTAAAAGACAGACTTTCAGATAGGCTGTATTCTAGAATGTACTGCATAAACCTACCTTCTTAAGTACATTATACAGTGTAGTTTAAATCTCCACTGAAGGGGCAAGGCCATGCTAGGAGCACCCGCGACGAGGCACATACACGGAGAGCACTACACACCAAGTGGGTACGATCACTGAGTATTGGTTGATATTTTAGGGACCTTGAAAAACAGTCTTTATTTCTTTTCCAATTTCCAAACTGACTGAGAAGCAGACACAAGTCAAAAAATGAAGATCAACATGTCAGCTTTAATAGTAAATTTAGACCTTTCAGTGGAGGAAATGTGAACCTTTCCCCTCTCAACCCCTCACAGGCTCCGCAGCTCCTACAGGGCTCAGGGCTCCCTCGGGCACCCCTCGGGTCAGTCTCCACTCGTGGGGGACAGGGGAGCAGGGTGGGAGCTCTTCTGAAGAGCAGAGCTATCCCCAGCATGAAGCCAGCGAGGCTGGGTTGCTCGTACTGTTTGTCCCTGCTGTTCCCCGAACTAACACGTCACAGCTCACTGGGCTTCAATCTTCTCTGTATTATAACTGCCACTGCACACTGGCTGTGGTTTAAAAACCAAGTGAACTTTGGGTCGGGCATAAACAAGCAGGTGGAACAAGAGGGTAAGAAGGGCATGGAGCAGAAAGTGAATTTTGAGCTGAACAGTCAGTGCAGCTTCGGTTTTTGTCCTGGGCTTTGTATCCAGGGCCTTAACAAACACAAGAGAAAGCAGCAGAGATTTTAAACATGTGGTTCTTCTTTTCAAATATAATGTAACTCACCTTGGCTCTGGTATCCATGTCCCTCCAGGCTCTCCCACGCCTTGACAGCATGGGCCTGGGACCGGCTTCCTAACCAATGGAGGACGGATGACATTTTAGACCAAATGTGGCAAAACAAGATCAGTGGAGAAGCTCTAGAAGTCAGGGGTTTAGGAAACTCCACCCGCAGTTAGGAAGCTCCAGCTCCTGCCCGTGGGCAGGCGTCCCGCGGGCCACAGACTGTGGCCCCGATAGCCGGTCAACTCCTGGAAGGAGACCTCTTCCCACATGGTGTCTGCATGTCTCCCGCTGACTCCAGGCTCTGGTGGAACCCTGAGCAATACGTGACTAGCTAAGTCTTGTCTACTTGCCATTTTCTACTCTTTTATCCTTGAGGTCGACAAAACGCTGGAAGGACACAGGATGTCGACTGGCATTGATGGAAAGACACCCACTGGTCCCCAAAACTAACCTGTAAACTACTTCTCTTTATTTGACTAAATGCTAAGTGAACGTCTTCCCAGAATCATTCTCGGGCCTTCACCTGTTCCCCCTGGCGGCTGTGGACCACTCGGGCCTCCTGCCAACACAGAGCCCACCTCCATGGGCAGAAGGCCTGTTCCAACCCCCTCCCCGGGAGCAGCTACTCACACACCGGTTGGCAGTCTCGTTTCCTTTTAATAAGAAATGCAAAATAGGGTAAAAGGCGTAAAATAATAGTAATAATAAAAATAGTTTGGGTCCAAAATTCCTTAGCCTGAACTTCAAAATCTAAAAGTTTCAAATAATGAAAACTTCCCAAATCCATCTGCTATAAATTCTGGACAGCAAAACCTGATCTAAGTTTAGATGAGGCTGTTTCTCAGGTCTGTGTAGTTTAGGGTGGGTAGGTGTTCACGGTTTCACTGTGTTTCATTAAAGGGAGCGGCCCAACCCCCACCCCCAATGGAAAAGCCTCATTAAACCCAGTTTATACGCACTTGTGTTAACTTTCTAAAATCCAAATTCTGAAATACATTTGGATGCAAGGGCTTCATGTAAAGGACTGCGAACCTATAATTTTTCTGTTAAAGGAAGTCTAGAAAAAACACAAAACTCCAACTACATCAACTATCACAAAGGCCAAAATTTTCTGTGTACATTTTAATATCTGAAAGCAATAAAATACATTCCAAGTGTTGAATCTGAGTTTTAAAGTAGCAAGAACTTCAAAGTCCCAGATAGCTGGAGATCCAGCATTTGGGGGGCCCCGGGACAGAGAACCCCAAGTTTGGTGTGTAGGATTTGAAAACTTGTGCCTCAGGTATAAGAGGAGCATTGCCCACCTATTAGGGCTCAGGTGTGAACTAGTCCCAGCACACAGCCCTTCCCTGAGGCAAGGTCGGCATCCATCCAGCCTCTACTACAGAATAATTCTATTTCATATATTTCTAAATACATATGTGTATCACATATATTGAAGCTCCAATACTTTGGCCACCTGACGCAAAGAGTCAACTCATTGGAAAAGACCCTGATGCTGGAAAATATTGAAGGCAAAAGGAGAAGGGGGCAACAGAAGATGAGATGGTTGGACAGCATCATGACTCAATGGACATGAATTTGAGCCAATTCCAGGAGACAGGGGAGGCCAGGGAAGCCTTGCATGCTCTAGTCCATGGCGGTGGGGGGGCGGGGGGGGGGGGGTGTTGCAAGGAGTCAGATACAATTTAGCAACTAAACAACAACAAAAGTCACAAATGTCAACTAATCGCATTCCCTAAAAAGGTGAAATAAAATCAACTCAACAAAATCAACGAGCACCTAATAAACTGAGTATATACCAAGTATTTCATACTCAATCATAAAAAGAAACCTCTTAAAATTCCAGTATATTCCAGTATATTATAAATGTATAGGAAAGTTCTATCCTAGTATTTCCAATAAACACACATATACACAGCATGTCAAACCTTAATACAGGAAGATACTAAGTTTGATTTTCAAGGAACTATTTCTCAGGAAATACCAGTTACAATGATTTCATATGTACATTTGCTTTATTAAAATTGTGGCACTTAATATAATAGCAGAAATCATCACATGGCTCACATCCAGAAGCAATACAATAGTGGAGGCGCAAACATTCCTTATTACCAGTACAAGTAAAAAAGTGGTAATATGTCCCATAAGCCCTTAATTGCATAAAATATTATACTGCACATCATTTACAGCCAGCACACTTAAATAAACTAATTATCATCTTTTATATTCTGCAAGGGATATAACGTTCATAGGACATTCAAACATGATAAAAATTAAACATCAGTTCTGAATTATT